TCGTCTCCATGTTGTTTGTGGGCGCCCATGTGAGCTGTTTTTGCAGGTATATCAGGATTCATTCTCATAACGTGGCCATTTCCATCTTTTCTTGGTTATCATACTGTCTAAAGTTTCTTGGTTTGTGACTTGAAGTAGTTTAGTGTTTGAGATCCATTTATTTACAACTAAAGTTAAATTTATTTATAAAGCTGACTTGAGTTCTTTAAAAAGTCAAAAACATTAAAAATAAAGGATTCTTTTCCCCGCCTTCATGCAAATTAGACATATAGGGCTATATATTTTTTAAGACAATCTGAACTTGATGTGAGATGTGGTTAAGATCACGCCAGTCACCTTTACTTTCCATGACTTCACCTGGTACAAACTGGAGGCTGGGTTGACCTAGGAGCCAAAGTCATATTTGAAAAAATTCGGGTTCCGTCAGGACCAAACCCCAACCTTCTGACCCGCAGGCGAGCATCTAGTCACTACACCACAGCGGTTTCCCTGAACACATTATGGATTATTTTCTACGACTTCATTTGCTGTTAACTCTGACAGAAAGTTCTGCTTGTTTGTTCACTTCTGGATTTTAGTCTTGTTCTAGAAATTGTAGTTTGTATGCACACCAGTTTTACAAATCTCTCTTATTTGTATGCAGACTGCTGGTTCCTCACCTCTCAGGCAGATGCACTCCGACTTCAAAGGAAACCTCTAAACAACTCTTATGACATGCTTGTTAGGGAGACAGTGGGTCTGTTCTGTTTTTCCCTGACAATGGGACCCAGAAACCCACACAGGGAATTATGGGTCTGAATTATAGGGTTTTAAAACAAGGTTTTGTTTCCAGTTGTAATGTTATTTAAGTTTTAAGATATGCCAGTGAGAGTTGCAGGAGCACTAGAGATTTATGAACATATGAACATTTGAAAATATGAATTCGAGAAAAGCAGGCAAATAAAATAAATGTCTGGACAACCATTGGTATCAACAGTTACAACAAATAAGATAACGATATACTGGTATCAGGGAAAGCTATAAAAACGAACAAAAAGTATATCAGCAAGCTTCACAATATAACAAACAAAACGTTAACGTGCGGCTATGGAGCCTTCTTCAGCACATTCATAGATTAGACAATACTACACAAATATACAATATTACTTATCTTCGTATCTCTTGGCAGCCAGGTCGATGTCAAGACAATAGTCTGGCGAGGCACGTGGGGCCGGGAAAATTAATATCTGGGGATATGCCAGGGGCCATCACCCGAGGAAAAGAAGAAACTGTGCAGGCAGTTCAGCCCCCAAGGGTTTAGAGGAAGCTGTTTTGGCGGTTTAGTCCACTGGGTGCCAGAGTTCCTAAAGTGTATATGAAGCGATTCTCAAGAGACTTGCGGACTCTGTCGCTGAAGTGGCTAGATTTAATGGCTGTCACCTCCATGTCATGGACACCTTGGTGATCCTGGAAACTGAAATGAAGTGGTACTGGTTTAAGGGCGCCTTTCTGCACGTCCAAAAGATGTTGTCTAAACCTGTCAGCCAGTCGTAAACCCCCATTATATATTTTGTGCCACATCTCTTGCAGTTGATGGCGTAATTTACATTACGGCTCGTGCAATAGAATGCTTCACGTATGTGGAAGGTGGCATTGGGGAATTCCAGGTTGGTACCCTGAACCACACATGGACAGGTCCTAAATACAGGTCTATGACAGGAGACCGCCCCGAAGTGGGACAGAGGCCGGACGTGACCGGCTCTTAACTAGAATGTCCTTAAAGTTACGGTCATGCCTGAAGGCCACTATAGGAAGCTCAGAGAAAATCTTACTGGTTGTAGGGTAAGCCCTAAGGATGGAGAGATGTGTATACGAGATGATAGACGATAACATGATAAGACGATGAGCATCTAATGAGGAGAAGCGAACAGAAAATTACCATTATCGCTCAAATGGGAACATTGACTGAAAAGACGTTTTAAAGAAACCCTAAGACGAACGTTAATGAGAAAGGCCAAAAGTGCTGCACTAAATTCCATCCATGAAACTGAAACAATTGCACAGATCAGAACGGACTGGAAGAACAGACTGTGAGCCCTATTTGACATAAAATGACACAAAAGGATGATGAAGGTAAAAGGATTACAACTATTAAATACAGAGATCTGCCCAATTTTGAAATCATAAATGAAATCACTGGTCCATACAAAAAATTAGCGTCTAGCACCATGTGCACAATTTATCTGCTTATTGTCCATGACTGGCCTCCGTAACTCAGCGAATGTATATTTAAAGTTTTGTTGTAACGCATCATTTCTGCTAAAAAATTGCTCGGCCATATTAGGCACTACAATTATTTGGAGAGAACAGTAATGAAGGGTATTGTTCCTTGAAGAATAAAGCAGAGGCCAAAGAGCACGTTTATGGACATAGGATATGAAAAGCAGGGTGAATGTGAAGATTTACTAGGCAACAAAGTGTCAAGGGACCAACCAGCTTTCCCTTGCGCCGGTAGGGGAGCGACAATCTACTACTTGGTAATATCGTAACCACTGTTCTAAAAACTTTAAATGAAATAAAAATACTGCTGGGAGTGCTTTTTGAAAAGAATGCTCAGTAAGTGACCGAATCATTAAAATATATATATATATATATATATATATATATATATATATATATATATATATATATATATATATATATTATATATATATATATATATATATATATATATATATATATTACTAAAATAGTAAACTGATTAGATAGGTTAGACGTTGCGATAACCCTGCTTTGCATGGTCTCCACGGTCCCAGCAAATCAAGCAGAAAATCAGCACAGTAAACGACCGCACGAGATACTTAGGGCTGGAGAGGTAGAGACGAAGCCCTAGGTTAGCTCGTGGTCACTTGAGTACCAAAAGACGAAGAAGTCAGTTGTCGTATTTAAAGATATAGTTTCATGTCAAGTTAATTTGAATGACTAGTGATGTAATATTGTGGAAGCGAACCGTGATCACTGTGTCTAAATAATTGTCGGAATAAACTGATAGAATGAATAAAGGAATCCTCCCCGTGTGAGTTCCGGGGCACTATTATAGGGAAAACAAGAATAGACCCACTACCTACCCAAAAGCATGTCGTAAGAATCGACTAATTGGGAGCTTCCTTCGAAGTCGGAGTGCATCTGCCTGAGAGGCAACGGGGAAGCTGCCAGACAGATGTGGGATGTAGCTTTGTTAATCCTAGACGGTAGAAACAGTGTCAAGTAGCAACGTGCAAGCTGACAGACAGATGTGTGATGTAGCTTTGTTAATCCTAGACGGTAGAAGCAGTGCAGGTAGCAACGTGCAAGCTGACAGACAGATGTGTGATGTAGCTTTGTTAATCCTAGACGGTAGAAGCAGTGCAGGTAGCAACGTGCAAGCTGACAGACAGATGTGAGATGTAGATTTGTTAATCCTAGACGGTAGAAGCAGTGCAGGTAGCAACGTGCAAGCTGAAAGACAGATGTGTGATGTAGCTTTGTTAATCCTAGACGGTAGAAGCAGTGCAGGTAGCAACGTGCAAGCTGCCAGACAGATGTGTGATGTAGCTTTGTTAATCCTAGACGGTAGAAACAGTGTCAAGTAGCAACGTGCAAGCTGACAGACAGATGTGTGATGTAGCTTTGTTAATCCTAGACGGTAGAAGCAGTGCAGGTAGCAACGTGCAAGCTGACAGACAGATGTGAGATGTAGATTTGTTAATCCTAGACGGTAGAAGCAGTGCAGGTAGCAACCCGTAAGCTGCCAGACAGATGTGTGATGTAGCTTTGTTACAGGTGACGTAGCTTTGTGGCAGACGTAAACAGTTCTTTGTTTTTGGCCACACGGATGAGGCGAGACAGATCAGTGACCTGATCCGTGATTATGGTGATCGTGTAATTGTGAACCAGGATCGCCTACGGTTATCGGCAAATGATGATAATATTACATTACTCAGGACCACCGCCTTCTCCAGAGAAGCTGCAGCCCGGCCGTGCTCATGACATTGCCGTAAAAGGGCTCACCCACAGCAGCAAGCGCAGAGTTCTAATTCTCGTGGAACCATTCCTGCAACATTGCAGGGAATCACATGGATGTGCTGTTAGGGAAATGCAGGAGTGCGAGGGAATAACAGAGCGGATTTTCTGGTTACAAAATCGAAAGCTACGAGGGCGCTTGAATTGGACGGGGGAGATGTTCTGAAGACACTATATGCATGAATTTTGGCAGAAGACAAGAGATTAAATGAAATAACATGGGCGGGAATGTGTGAGCGAGGAATTAGGTGTTTATCCGGCAAGGAAGGACGGATGAGCGGAAGAGATCGGCGTGTGTATAATCAGTGTGCTACGGGAACACAGCATCGACACCTTAGTCATTTGCTGCGGGAGTCAGAACATCTTTGGGTATGCCAGGTGGGCTATGATGTCGATTCTTAAATCATTAAACCATTCCTGGTCACTTCCCGCTGCAGTTTTCTCTAAAGACTGTGATGTAATTACTGTTCACTCGCTTCTCAAGGGTTATCGATAAAGATGAAAACTACCTGGCCATATATGAACTTATCAGCCAAATGGTGCAGCATATTTGGTTCTTTTCCACACAGGACAACACTTTACACAGCTCAGTTGTATCTGTCACATGTACCCTATTTTAAATTATTTATAACTTCTTTAGAGGTTAAATGGGGTATCTGAGATCTGCATTGTTTGGCTGCTATATAATACGGGGACACAACAAACACTTACACACGCACGCAGACACACTCACACTACACACACGCACACACACACCGTGATGTCGAAATGATGATGATAATGATTATAACAAGCAGTGACAGTAACATCCCCTTGATCATTAATGGTGGCGCCACGCGTTTCCTTAGCAACGTTTGATGCCGAGATTACCAATCGACACGGAATAGTTACAAACAGTAAACAAGCTCGCCCGGAAAGTGCCATCTTTCACAACACTTGAACCTCAAGCTTCACGCAGAATGGCAGCAATTCTCGCAGAACAGGCCGTACCAGCTACGGCTACTCTAGCCAGCCGAGAAATACCGCCACAGCCACCGGCACCAGTCGTCAACCCCAACCCAGATTTTGAAATCTCGTATACTGGCAACACCGGCAACGACATGGGGATCTCCACCATGGGATTCCGTTCGGCAAAATATAATCCGTCCGAATGGAATGAGGCCAATTATGCGAAGTACTATCAGTCATTCGTGGACAGGGACAGTTCTGAACGGGTGCTTCATGAGTCCAGGAGGACGCAGAAAGAAACACAGGAGACAACTAACAAAACGCAAGCTGAAGCCACGAAAAAGTTGGCCGAAAGCGCTAAAAATATTGAATTTTGGAAATTTGAACTGAACAGAGAAATCCAGGTTAGTCAGTTTATTGCATGAATAGTGTTCAGTCTTCGTGAATGTATTCTTTGAGATCAACCCAAAAAAGTTATTAGAACGACTTCATTGTACCAGGTTTTATTCCATATGCTCTGGTTTCTTCACAGAGCGGCTGGTCATCCATTGACAGCGTCGCTCAAGGCACAAAACTTTGTCAGTCAATTGACTGTGATTAGAGGTTACGACGCTTAAGGGCTTAAGCACTTTGAGTAACCCCCCCCCCCCCCCCCCCCCCACCACAACCTAAAAAAATTATTAACACTTGAGCACACCACTCCCAAATTTAAAAAAAAAAAAAGGGGGGTGGGCTGTTAAACAACTCTACCGTACTGTGTGTACAGGTCCTTTCTTTAAGTTGTTGTTTATAAATTAAATTATTTTTAATATATTGATCTAATATAAGGGGTCTCCTCCGAACTTCTGCCCAATATTATGGTGGGCATACAATATCCTTATGGTGCTCAGTCCTATTAAAAATATGCTGGCTTCGTATAACGAAACAAATGCTCTAACTGGGTCTCAGCGATATGTTAATTGCGAACCTGTTTCTGTGACAATGCCTCACCGCCGACCGTATCCCCCATGCCACTACGCGCGGCGCGGATAGGGGCTAAACTAGATGGCTGGGACTCAAGAACAGCAGCTACCGCATCTCCTGCAACTTCCTCCAGTTTATTTGCTCGTGAGTCCCAGGCATCTAGTTTAGATCCCCATCTGTGCCGTGCATAGCGGCGCGGGGAATACACTTAGCAGTGAGTTTAATCGCGTTTTGCACATGCTGAAAAGTGTGAGGACAAGAACGTCTGTTACTATCATCTGCAGAAACGCTCAAAATTGTTAACGGTCACTATTATCGTCTGCTACTATCGTCTGCAATGTTGCGTCTCTTGAAATTGTCAAGTAATCCTAGTTTTGCCGCGATTTGTTCCTTGGCAGAAAGTCCGCATTTTACATATGCCTGAGCCCCCTAAGGATATTTTATGGCCGCCATAATATCAGGTTGAAGTTCGGAGGAGAGCCCAAAGCCAAAGTACAAATGGACAAACACCCAGGACTTTCCATGAAGCTCACTACCACTGAACAAAGAAAAAGAAATTAATTATTCTTATTTATTCACTATTCAGTATATGACTATTATTAAGCACTGTAACGGGTTTAAACCCCTTGGGCATTCCCTCCATTCTCCACCCCCACTCACCCCCATCATGTTTTCTTTTTGTTGGCGCTCCTTCCAGATGTAATCCCCAGCAACCTCCCAAACACCTCCACTTATGAACGGAGGTACAACTGACAAAATCAAACCATTAAACTTCAGAGCTTCAGGCAAACAACTTTACCACTTTATATCCCTGAACAACCTCTTCAGTAATTATTAAATAAATAATGCATGCTCACCCTATCTCCCAGAAGCAGATGACAAACTTGGTAGTGTCATCAACAAAGAATCATGCCCTGAGCTGATAAAAGATGTTTTTCATCCCTCCCTCCAAAACACATCATAAACCTTTGATGTTTGTTGCCTTGACCTTAAGTAGTCTGACTATGGAGGTCATGGCAGTGACCTAAGCAATAACCTGGCTGGAGACACAGACCTTTTCCCGCACCTGCTTTCTCAGTGACTAAATGAGCATGCTAAATATCCAAAGACAGTTGTTGGAGTCTCTAAAGCTGTTGGCGGCCGGCGTAATGCTGACCACATTACCCATCCAGTGCTGATTGGTCTGTAAAAATATGGGACGCTCTTCTCATATACCCCATGCGCCTAAGTCGTGAAAAGGGATCTTTACTTTTTTTTTTTACTTTACTAAAGCTGTTGGGGCTGACACATATCAGTTTCATATTTGTGCCAGGGCACACAGGCGTACAAGGAAATGAGCAAGCTGATCAGTTTGCAGGTAAAGCTACCGTGGACCAGGCAGATATTCTGATACAAGAAGTAAGACATTTGCAAGAACCAAGTGATGGCTGTGAATCATGCGACCATGACCACACTGCAAGAACAACCTGTGAGGGTTGTGGCCAGACAGGAACGCTATGCAGAAAGCCAAAGGAGAATAAGAAATCAACACAGAACTGGTGACGTGAGCCGCTGCACGCTGCAGGATTTACTAAGGAGGGGATCCGAGCACTTATGAACTGGATGGTTCGATGTGCAGTGTAGATAATCTGTCGACTAACTAACTAAACTTTGATGTATCCAGGAATATGGTAACTGTCTTTTCGTTGTTCAGGAAACTGAACTTGACATCATGTTCTAGTCTGAAAATCTGATCCAAAGTGCTACATTTTGTCATCACAGAAACCACTGGTAAAGCTGTAGAATTATATAGGTAGACAGAAATTGACAGCATTTGTGAACATGTAGGTTTCTTTTAGGTTAATCTGGGCATTAGTAATGTAAACTGTATTTAAAAGTAAAAGTAAAGGATTTACATCAGTTGCACCTTGGACATCTTATGCTAGACATAATAATTATAACCCAACTGGTACTGGATAGGTGTTGTGGTCACCCTTATCCCAGACACTTTTACTTCCCAGAATATTTTTTGGGTACTTATTTTAAACATCTAACGATTGCTTGAAAAAAGCAATATATATATATATATATATATATATATATATATATATATATATATATATATATATATATATATATATATATATATATATATATATATATATATATATATATATATATATATATATATATATATATACATACATACACAACAATAAGAAAGAGACAAACACTGTTCTTTGGCCACATAATGAGAAGAGAGACATTTGAGAACATCCTGACAACTGAAAAGATCATTGAAAAAAGGGGTAGAGGCAGACCAAGAGAGATGATGCTGGATGGGCTGAAACGATGGCATGGAGGGATATCATCAAGAGAGCTGTTCCAGGCAACCATAGATTGTGATCTGTGGAGGCGCATGAGCGCCTACGCCAGTTGGCAGGGCACATGATGATGATGATGATTTTAAGCTGGTCTTTTTTAAAAATTTGCCTTGATAAAGATTCAAACATGTGACTACCCATGTAATTGAAAAAAAAAGGAAAAATTAAAGGTCCCTTTTTCATGTCTTTAGGCATATAGGGGAAATATGGCTAGACCTATATTTTTATAGGCCAATCAGCACAAGATGGCCACCTTTACTTCCCCTAACTGCACTCAGTACTCACTCAAGGCTGGGTAAACCTGGGAGTCAAAGTAATTTTTATTTTAAAAGTCCAGCTTCGCCAGGGAGCCAACTCCCAACCTTCCGATCCGCACACGAGCGTCTAGTCCCTATGCCACGGCGACTCCCACCCATATGACAGGCAAACATATATTATTTATAATTGATTATTTATTTTTTATTATAATTATTATTAAACATACATTTGCACGCTCGCACACACACACACTCACACGCACACACACAGATATGGGCAGTAGTATAAATTAGGGCCAGCTAAATGAAGAATTAATTTGACTATCCATTTGACCACAGGATGTTATTGATGAGACGGATCTTCTACTTGCTCAAAAAAAGCGACTGGAGAATGCACTAAGAACAACAGAGGTGTCTCTTCACATTGCCACCGATAACCTGAACTGTCGCCAGCGGCGCCTGGGAGTCGATTTAGTGCAAGATGATGTCGAAATTTCTCTGTTGAAGGCAAGAATTAACATTCTTTGTATCTTATCTACTGAAGTTAGCTGAATATGTTGACTCTTCAATAGTGCCTAGCTCATCAGGAATACTAATAAAAAATACAGCAAGTTCCTCAGGTTGGTTCTTGGGTCCACTTTATTTTTGGAGCTCGGGTGGAAAAGGGGGGGAAGGGAGGAATAGACCCACTACTTTCCTAACAAGCATGTCATACAAGTCAACTATTAAGGCGTGTTCCCTCAAAGTCAGAGTGCATTTGTCTGAGAGATAAGGAACCAACAGTTTGCATACATAAATGCCAGATCTGTAAAATGGATGTGCAAACAAAACTCAGGTTCTGAAAAGTGGAAAGTCAAGAAGCTGATGAACAAACATAATTTTGTATGTGTTTACCGCTGGTAAAACAAAAATACGACCACTTGTATGTGTGTGGTCAAAAGTGATGACAGTCTCTTTCTTATGTTTCTGACAAGTTGCCTAAGACGCGACAACAAAATTCGCACCATTATCAGAAGAGACAGTCATAATTTTTTCCCCGCCACACTATGAAGAGAAAGAAACTGGAACATGTTATGACAAGTGGAAAGAGACTGAACAAACTTTACTTGTAAAGGGTCACATATTTGGCACATAAGCCCATCTTGCAGGCTCATCTTATTTTCAGCCCTTTCAGTCATCTTTCACACATCCATTTTATCTATAAAGCAGGCTTTGTTCACATAGTACTATAAGGTTTTGCATATCCTTTACAGGACGTTGCAGAACCACACCAACAGCCCCTGGCTGTTGTATGGTTTTTCTAGGCAAATTTACGTCCAGTAGTTTGCCATTGCTTTCTGGACGGTCGGCTTTCTTGATACCACTGTCGAAACCAACACAAGGCGCATGGCCCGCAGCTGGGATCAAACCCGGCATCCGGGCATTACGAAGTGTTCGCATCAACTTAGCCACAGAGCCGACACATAGTACTATACATAATTTAAATATTAACTTTAAAAAACAAAACCATAAGTGGCAAATACATATATTCAAATGTACATGTGTTTGTTCCAAACATGTTGATGCTTTCTTTCCTTTAGAGTTAACAGAGCAGGCAGAGAGAGAGAGAGAGATTATGATGCATGAACGATACATGGTCTTTACAATACGGCTCAGGCTTTGTGGATGGAGAGTAGAAACATGCAGGTTGGTCTTGATAGTGACTCTGGCAGTTGCCATGCGTTACCAATGCCTCCCTGTAGCACAGTTTAATGCTATCGTCTGAAAATACGGAAAGGTGCCAGTCAGTGAGTAAGTCAAATGGAAGGGAGAGAGCTAATATACATGTATTGTAAGACAGTGATTATTTATTGTTGGGAACATGCAATTTTATATGTGTCTAAATTTTAATTATTCCTGTTCAGGAAGTTGAAATAATCAATAATGTGCAAGATCTTCTGAAAAACACCATCAACCAATGTGAGAAACAGGTCAGGTAAGGTATTTCTTGTGCTGTCTTTCAGTGAACAAGTTCATGAATGTATGTCTCTTACAGAGGTAGTATTAATATTAATAGTATCCTATTCAACCCTTCTGGGTTGTAACTGTAACATATATAGAGTATTCTACACACCCCACCCCCTCGCCCTCATATATTTAGATACTGAATAATTGAGAAATGAAATAATTAGAAGATTTGGAGGAAAAAAGTCATACCATCCTTACATGAACATGAGATCAAATGATTTAGTCATCTGTCATGATCAGAATGACCTAGTATCAACAGCCGCAGATAACCATGTGGAAGAAATACTGACTGACTGACTAACTGACTTTCTACCCCACCAGGACATCACACAAGCGATAAACACCCGATGACACAATGTGCCACCTTGTGGGTGAGGATCACCGTGGAGAGGTCCCAGAAACCGTGTTCAGCCTTTAGGTCATATTTATGGCCAGGCTATATTGCTGCCCCTGGCAAAGCCAGTGTAGGGCTTCAATTAACATGATAAGGAAGAAATACTCCACTATGCAGCACAGAAACCTGCACTGCCTGTACAGAATTAGAGAGCTGAATTTAGATCTATACAATCACACATCCTGACTGATTGATTAACTGAATAAAATAATGTGTCATCAAATATTGTCCTTATTCCTACCTATGTACATCTTTTGCAAGAGGAAATAATTTATATCCAGTCATCTCCTTTTGAGATGCAACTTTTTGTTATTTTGAAGCCTCATCCTGGCTCTTGCCAGGGGCCGCAATATAGCCTGGCCATAAATATGGTCTAATGGCTAAACTCAGTTTCTGGGACCTCTCCTCGGGTGATCCTCATCCACATGGTGGCACTCTGTGTCATCGGGTATTTATCGCTTGTGTGATGTCCTAGTGGGGTAAAAATCTATTACTACTACTACTAGGAAATAATTTACAAATCTCATAATGATATCAGCTAGTAAATTTGTAGCTGTTAAAAAAAAATTTGTTTTTTTCTTCTTGAAATCCAGACTGAATCGCGATGCTAAGCAGAATCTGGAGATGGACTGGAGTGACAAAAAGGAAGCACTGGAGATTGATACTAGGAGTGGAGCCTTGCGCAACCACCACACTAACAAGCAATTCCATGATGGAGCTGCCAAATTTGAGGAAATGTAAGTTTGTTTTCTGTCTTTGAAATGACTGGGATCACGTATGGGAATGCCCTGTGTGATGTGATGTCAATTCTTAACTCAACTGAACTCAACTCCTTACACAGATCCTCTGGCTCAGTTTTGTATATTATGTTCCGTGTGTGTGTGCATACCTGCCTGCCTGCGTGCGTGCGTGCATGTGTGTGTGTTGTATTGTCATGCACTAACATTAACATTTTACCTTGTAGACACATGCACTAACATTAACATTTTACCTTGTAGACACATGCACTAACATTAACATTTTACCTTGTAGACACATGCACTAACATTAACATTTTACCTTGTAGACACATGCACTAACATTAACATTTTACCTTGTAGACACATGCACTAACATTAACATTTTACCTTGTAGACACATGCACTAACATTAACATTTTACCTTGTAGACACATGCACTAACAATAACATTTTACCTTGTAGACACATGCACTAACATTAACATGTTACCTTGTAGACACATGCACTAACATTAACATTTTACCTTGTAGACACATGCACTAACAATAACATTTTACCTTGTAGACACATGCACTAACATTAACATTTTACCTTGTAGACACATGCACTAACATTAACATTTTACCTTGTAGACACATGCACTAACATTAACATTTTACCTTGTAGACACATGCACTAACATTAACATTTTACCTTGTAGACACATGCACTAACATTAACATTTTACCTTGTAGACACATGCACTAACATTAACATTTTACCTTGTAGACACATGCACTAACATTAACATTTTACCTTGTAGACACATGCACTAACATTAACATTTTACCTTGTAGACACACAAGTAACACCTTGTAACATTAACATTTTACCTTGTAGACACATGCACTAACATTAACATTTTACCTTGTAGACACATGCACTAACAATAACATTTTACCTTGTAGACATGCATGCACTACACATGCATAACATTTTTTACCTTGTAGACACATGCACTAACATTAACATTTTACCTTGTAGACACATGCACTAACATTAACATTTTACCTTGTAGACACATGCACTAACATTAACATTTTACCTTGTAGACACATGCACTAACATTAACATTTTACCTTGTAGACACATGCACTAACATTAACATTTTACCTTGTAGACACATGCACTGTAACATTAACATTTTACCTTGTAGACACATGCACTAACATTAACATTTTACCTTGTAGACACATGCACTAACAATAACATTTTACCTTGTAGACACATGCACTAACAATAACATTTTACCTTGTAGACACATGCACTAACATTAACATTTTACCTTGTAGACACATGCACTAACATTAACATTTTACCTTGTAGACACATGCACTAACATTAACATTTTACCTTGTAGACACATGCACTAACATTAACATTTTACCTTGTAGACACATGCACTAACATTAACATTTTACCTTGTAGACACATGCACTAACATTAACATTTTACCTTGTAGACACATGCACTAACATTAACATTTTACCTTGTAGACACATGCACTAACATTAACATTTTTACCTTGTAGACACATGCACTAACATTAACATTTTACCTTGTAGACACATGCACTAACAATAACATTTTACCTTGTAGACACATGCACTAACATTAACATTTTACCTTGTAGACACATGCACTAACATTAACATTTTATGCACCTTGTAGACACATGCACTAACATTAACATTTTACCTTGTAGACACATGCACTAACAATAACATTTTACCTTGTAGACACATGCACTAACATTAACATTTTACCTTGTAGATGCCCACATGCACTAACAATAACATTTTACCTTGTAGACACATGCACTAACATTAACATTTTACCTTGTAGACACATGCACTAACATTAACATTTTACCTTGTAGACACATGCACTAACAATAACATTTTACCTTGTAGACACATGCACTAACATTAACATTTTACCTTGTAGACACATGCACTAACAATAACATTTTACCTTGTAGACACATGCACTAACATTAACATTTTACCTTGTAGACACATGCACTAACAATAACATTTTACCTTGTAGACACATGCACTAACATTAACATTTTACCTTGTAGACACATGCACTAACAATAACATTTTACCTTGTAGACACATGCACTAACATTAACATTTTACCTTGTAGACACATGCACTAACATTTAACATTTTACCTTGTAGACACATGCACTAACATTAACATTTTACCTTGTAGACACATGCACTAACATTTTAACATGCACTTTACCTTGTAGACACATGCACTAACATTAACATTTTACCTTGTAGACACATGCACTAACATTAACATTTTACCTTGTAGACACATGCACTAACATTAACATTTTACCTTGTAGACACATGCACTAACATTAACATTTTACCTTGTAGACACATGCACTAACATTAACATGTTACCTTGTAGACACATGCACTAACATTAACATTTTACCTTGTAGACACATGCACTAACATTAACATTTTACCTTGTAGACACATGCACTAACATTAACATTTTACCTTGTAGACACATGCACTAACAATAACATTTTACCTTGTAGACACATGCACTAACAATAACATTTTTACCTTGTAGACACATGCACTAACATTAACATTTTACCTTGTAGACACATGCACTACAATAACATTTTACCTTGTAGACACATGCACTAACATTAACATTTTACCTTGTAGACACATGCACTAACAATAACATTTTACCTTGTAGACACATGCACTAACAATAACATTTTACCTTGTAGACACATGCACTAACATTAACATTTTACCTTGTAGACACATGCACTAACAATAACATTTTACCTTGTAGACACATGCACTAACATTAACATTTTACCTTGTAGACACATGCACTAACAATAACATTTTACCTTGTAGACACATGCACTAACAATAACATTTTACCTTGTAGACACATGCACTAACATTAACATTTTACCTTGTAGACACATGCACTAACATTAACATTTTACCTTGTAGACACATGCACTAACATTAACATTTTACCTTGTAGACACATGCACTAACAATAACATTTTACCTTGTAGACACTTGTAGCACTAACATTAACATTTTACCTTGTAGACACATGCACTAACATTAACATTTTACCTTGTAGACACATGCACTAACATTAACATTTTACCTTGTAGACACATGCACTAACATTAACATTTTTACCTTGTAGACACATGCACTAACATTAACATTTTACCTTGTAGACACATGCACTAACATTAACATTTTACCTTGTAGACACATGCACTAACATTAACATTTTTACCTTGTAGACACATGCACTAACATTAACATTTTACCTTGTAGACACATGCACTAACATTAACATTTTACCTTGTAGACACATGCACTAACATTAACATTTTACCTTGTAGACACATGCACTAACATTAACATTTTACCTTGTAGACACATGCACTAACATTAACATTTTACCTTGTAGACACATGCACTAACATTAACATTTTACCTTGTAGACACATGCACTAACATTAACATTTTACCTTGTAGACACATGCACTAACATTAACATTTTACCTTGTAGACACATGCACTAACATTAACATTTTACCTTGTAGACACATGCACTAACATTAACATTTTACCTTGTAGACACATGCACAGGCCACCCTACACTCACACATGGCAATGCTCTGTAAATAACACAAACAATTGACACATAGCAACACCATGTAAATACACACATTATAACACTTAACAAAAGTTTATTAAAAAATGAATTAGCGTCGAGGAAGAAAATTGACCTACATTCTCAGGTCAACTAAGCCTAAAAAGGTACCAGAAAATGTTCTGAGAAGTAAAGGCAGTTGAGGTGATGTTGATTATCAGGGCTGCCTATGCTTGGTTCTTCCCCCACCCCCTTCCCCGTGTTGCGGTTTGGCAAAAATCCGATTGGCAAACATGTTCTTTTTCTTCTTGTGTTCACTTTCTGATTGACACTGACAGACAAGTTCTTGGGTTCTTTCATAATAAGTCACTCTAGATGACATCAAAGGGACAGTCCAATATTTTATAGGGTTATAAGACTGGGTTTCCTGCTTTGTTGTGCTTTTAATTATCTGAAAAAATCTAGAACTGGACCTAACCCCAACCCACATGTGTCCCACAAGAGAGTGCAGCCTAGGTCCCACAACTGCATGCAGCCTATCTACCAACCCCTGAAATATTGGACTGTCTATTTGGTGTGACTTTTTACAAAAGCACCATTCTTGTGATAAACTTGACTGTTTTTAGGAGTTCCCTTTTAGTTATGGCAGCTCTGTTGATTCTATCACTTACTGCATTCCTACTAGAAAATAAAATTAGAGATCTAGCACCAAATGCCCATACAACACCACATTCTGCAGCAAATAATTTTTCTCTAATCTTCTTTTTTTTTTTTTAGCATTCACCAGCTGTAAACTCCAGTGGAAAGTTCTGGTTGTTCATCCACTTCAGGACTTTAGTCTTGTTCCAGAACTTATGTTTTGCATGCACATCCATTTTACAGAGCTGGCTTATTTGTATGCAGACTGTTGGTTTTTTGCCTGTCAAGCAGATGCACTCTGACTTCGATGGAAACCCATAATTGGTAGATTCTTATGACATGCTTATTAAGAAGGCAGTGGGTCTGTTCTTGTTTTTCCCCTATAGTGGAGCCCTGGAGCCCACAGGGGGATGTCACTAACCAACTGACAGTCCATGATTCACTTTTTTTATTCACTTCTTCATTCACTTTTTCATTCACTTCTTTATTCACTTCTTTACTCACTTCTTTATTCACTTCTTCATTCACTTCTTTACATCAGGACTGAACCTATATAGCTCTTCAAATCTTTCTTGCTCCCCTCTATTGACAAAGACATATTGCCAGGAATATTTTTCATATTGTGAAAGGTGGTTTTTGCTTTGGCCATTCTGCTTGTAATTTATTAAATACATCTTCCATCTGCTTTTACTAAAGCACTTAAATCTTCAAACACACTGACTTGCTTCAGATTTTAAAAAAGTTTCATCTCTTTCAGTACACTTGATAACCCAACCCAAGAATTCATTGGCTGATTTGTGGTTTTACTAGGCAGTTTTACACAAGTGGTTTGCAATATAATTTTGTGACCTTCGAATATGATGGCTTGATTTCTTGGCAGATATTTTTTTTTTTTAATGTTTAATTATTTTTTTTTAAACCACTTTTGTGGTTTTCAGACAGTGGTAAGAGAGTTGCACTGTGGAAGAAATTGAGGGCCGACCAGGTAATATTCACAAAGACAGCAGTAGGTGCACTGTGGCCAACCTCCATTTTAGGAACAGCAAAAACTTTAGTTTGCCATTGCTTTCTGAACAGCATGACATGCATACTACTGCAAAATCAAAGCCAAGTAGCCTACAGCTCACACTGAACCTCAGTATGTCAGGATGGTGAAACTGTTCACAAACTAATATCTAGTTTTTCTACACTTATAGGGGTAATTTAAATTTCTCTCACAACTTATAACTGTCCTTTGAAAGTAAATATGAAGTTCAACTAACACATTCTCTTTCAGACAGTCTGTTCTGTGAACATAAATATGAAGTTAACTGAGACATATTATTTCAGATAAAATACTATACTATGAATATAAATATAATATTTTTTTAACTTCTATATTGTGAAAATAAATATGATCTTCTTTTTTGATTTCACAACTGTAAATTTATGTGGTTGTTCACCCACTTCTGGGCTTGAGTCTTGTTCGAGAACATTAGTTTTGCATGCTCATCCATTTTACAGATCTGGCTTATTTTTAAGCAGACTGTTGGTTCCTCACATCTCAGGCAGATGCACTCGGACTTTGAAGGATATGTCCCTAATTAGTCAACACTTATGACATGTTTATGGGGGGGGGGGGGGGGTAGCGCGTCTGTAAAACATCCTCTTTCAGACAGTTTACTGTAGTGTTGAATCTTCTTATTTTTTTCTTATTTGCTTTTACTGACTGGCAGAGAGTTCTGCTTGTTCATCCACTTCTGAACTTTATTCTTGTTTCAGATCCTGAGTGTTACATGCTTATCCGTTTTACAGATCTGACTTATTTGTATGCAGACTGTCGGTTCTTTGCCTCTCCGTTAGATGCAGTCCAGCGTTGAAGTGGTGTAAGGGCTAGATGCCCGCCTGCGGATCAAAATGTTGTGGGTTGAGGTCCCGACAGAACCCCGACTGGTTTTTTTTCTCTCCAGAAATGCCCTTTTCTGCCAGGTCGACCCAGCCTTAAATGTGTCCTGGATAAAGTCCTGGGTTTAAAAGGTGACTGGCATAATGTTGACCACGTCACCCACTGAGTGCTGATTGGTCTATAAAATATTGGTCTAGCCCTATGTGTCCAATATACCTGAAGGTGCAGAAAAGGGTCCTTTACTTGTTTTGTTTCCCCTTATACTGTGAATATAAATATGAATTTCAACTAAGAGCTCCTCTTTCAGACAATCCACCCCTGAATCATGGGCTCAGTTCTCCCATGACAACATTGCTCGAGCTGAGCATGAGCGTATGGCCAGCATTCAGCTGCGTACACTTGTAGACAATGTGCTGGAAGATACGTCCCGGGACATGCGTGAACAGGCAGACCACGTGTATGCCAACTTTGTCAACAGGATTGCAGAAATGGAAGATGCCAAGGCCAAGCTGGAAGAGAATCTCACAAAGGTTTGGAAAAGATTTATATCTTTTCACACAGAGGCACACAAACCAACACTTCTGGTTGAGTCTTCTTTTTCTTCTTAACCCTACCAGACCTGAGGCTCTGAACCTAACTGTCCCTATAACCTGAGCTCCTGGGCATTACCGCAAAAAAACCAACATGATATACAAAAATATTAGTTACATGCAAAAAAGTGGCTAGAATGTGATGAAACTTGGAGACATTGTAGAAAATAGGCTTACCTTTTATCTATCGCCAATATTCCACCTTTGTGTGCGAATCCACTCATCAGGATCAACTTTGTTTCACAAAGTGAACACCAGATGTTGCCATTTGAGGGACACACTCCCTTCTCCTACTATCGATCTATTTCAGCATTTATAATTTTCAAGATTTTCCTCATCATTCGCGCTCTCACTGACAGTGTCACTTTAAGAACGTATTCTTTATGAAATTATCACCCCGCAGAGTCTCAATAAACCAAAGTATCGATCACCTGTTGGACTGTGAAATGCCTAGAACTTGGTTCATCAGCCGCTCGTTTCATTGAGAATTTTCAGAATTTTTCCAGGTAAAACAACACAAAAATAATCCAAACACATGCGGGCAGACATTTGCAATGTCTAACAAAGAGGATTGATAACGATTCAGTGGTTATTTTTAGTCTGACACATCTTTTCCCTGTACTATGCAAAAAGCCTAAAATTAGGGCCAGCGGTATAGTGACAGGTTAAGAAATTCCTGGAAATCCAGGCCAGCGTTCTGGTAGGGTTAAAGTCCCCCCAGTGTGGCATTGGTAGTCATGTCTGTCAACCACCTTCTGTCTTGTGTACTTTCAATCAACTCTGACACAGATGATCCTCCATGCCATGATGTCAAACTGTCCAGCATCTTTTCTCCCTCTGCCTCTCCTCTCCAGCTTTCCTACTGTCATGATTTACTCTGGTTTTCTCCTTCTCATCGCATGACCAAAGAATGTAGACTGTCTCTATCTGATATGGATAATCAGTTCTCTTCATGGGTCAGTTTCTTTCAAGACATTTTCATTACTCTTTTGATCTGTCTAGAGTATTCTCATCATCATCTATAAAATCACATCTCTGCTGTTTCCAAATAAGTTTTCACTAATTTACCAACTGTCCATGATTGATTTCCAAATATCAAGATAGGATTTATATATCTTTTAAGAATTCTCTTTCTTGTCTCAGTTGACAAAAAAAGAGTGCATAAAATATTCATTTTGTAAAATGCTGCCATCGCTTGAGCTATTCTACATTTAACTTCTTTAATATATCTTCCATCTGATATTATCAGGGAACCTAAGTACTTATACATATCAACTTGCTTGAGGTTTATCCCATTTACTTTGATGTTGCATTTTGGAGGGTCAGTTTTCTTTGTAATTACCATTACTTCTGTTTTTCTGCTGGTTCGGTCTAGTTCCATGTAAATGTAACTTTTCCCACGTCAGATTTGTCTGTAGCCTTAGTGGTAGAGGTCACTGGTCACAGCCTGTCACCTATACATATGTTTTTTTTATTAGGCCCAGGGAAAGGAATTCTATGTAAAGCTTCATCCTGTTTATGTATTTTTTTACTCCCTTCATTTATCTTCGTGTATTTTTTGGGGGGAGGGGTCAAATGTAGATAAATACATTTTTACCGAATTTATTAGTGACCTGTGTAACGGTCTTTATTGTTCTCTCCATTTGTTATGTTACTTTATATGGCCAAAGTCTTTACAAGATACATCTCTGTTTATGAGTCAGTACCCTTACTATTCAGATAATAAGAATGTCATCAAATTATTAAGAATGTCATCAGATCATTAAGTATGTTGTTGGATCATTAAGAATGTAATCATATCATTAAGCATGCCATCAGATTGTTAGGAATGTCATCAGATTATTAAGAATGCCATCAGATCATTAAGAATGTCAACAGATCATTAAGAATGTATTCAGATCATTAAGAATCTTTACTAAGAATCTTTCCATAACATTTACAATAGTTTTCATGAATA